AGGAAGGATAGAGGATTGCAATGTAACCAACTGGGATTATCGGGAACTCGGGTGTACTCTGCAACAAACTCACGCAAGCCTACCTCCTGTCTTCCATTCTTAAATTCAGATAATTTCAGAGAATGGATTTTCTATTATTTTTATTTTTAAATAACTGCACAAATAATATACATATTCTTTGTTTAAAAAAAATCCTATGATGAAGGATAAAATCTCTTTTGACCTCTTTAAGATCCCTATTCCCAGAAACAACTAGTCTGGTATGTATATTCTTTCAGAACTTTTACTATACTTTACATTAATAAATATATACCCACAAAAATACATAGTATCGCTTTATTCCCAAAGATTTTCATATAAATAACATCATTTAGCTTTCTTCTCTTACTAGGCAATGTTTTGGAAATCCATCTACATAAGTACAAATAGATCTAACTTATTCTTTGACATTATGAAAAATTTACACCTAATTAATGTAGCCATTCTCCTACGTTGGTTTTTTAGGTATTGGTAATGCATTTTCCCAGTGCCACTCAGAGTTTGGCAACCCAGAAAGTGAAGAGTAGCTCCGAGCATTACACATCCTCATTTCCAAAATCCAGCAGAAGTGTGTTTTCTTGGTGGCAATCATTTGTTTTCATTTTAACTGCTTCCTTTTTGAAAGTGAGTCAGACTAATAACTCAGGAAGTCCTAAGTTTTGTATTCCAAACACAGCCATAGTAAATAAAATCGTGACAAATACTGGTCAATGTAAGTAAATCTCTTCTGAAATTCTAATTTCATTTCAACCAAATGGTCACAAAAATTTTGTACATTCATTTTCCATTGAACTCAAAGTCAATAGTATAGTAACTAGTTTTCTGCTCCATCCAAATAACCCATTTGAACTTCATTAAATAAGATAGCAAAATTTTTCCTTTTTGATGAAGTTTAATAACCACCATAACTGATATCTTATGATATTGTTACAAAAATATAGTCTTGAAAACTTTCGAGGATTAAGCAAGTTGAGCCAATTCAATATAGTCCTTGAACTCCTAGCACTAATAAATGACTTCAGTAACGTCTTGGGAGACAAAATCAGTACTCAAAATTCAGTTGCATCTCTATATACCAACAACAAGCAGGCTGAGAGTCAAATTAAAAACACAATCATATTGACAACTGCCACAAAAAATAAAATACTTCTGAGTACATCTAACCAAAGAGGTGAAAGATCTTTACAATGAGAACTACACAACACTGTTCAAAGAAATCAAAGATAACACAAAAAATGGAAGAATATTCCATGCTCATGGATTGGAAGAGTCAATATTGTTAAGATCTCCATTCTACCCAAGCAATCTACAGATTCAATGCAATCCCTATCAAACTACCAGCAACATTTTTCACAGACCTAGAAAAGATAAACCTTAAATTCATATGGAAGCAAAAAAGAGCCTGAATAGCCAAAGCAATCTTCAGTAAAAAGAACAAAGCTGGTAGCATCACACTCCCAGATTTTATACTTTACTATAAGGCTACAGTAAACAAAAAAACATGGTACTGATATTAATACAAAGCAGAGAGACAGACCAACAGAACAGAATAGAGAACTCAGAAATAAAATTCCTAACCTAGAACCAACTCATCTTTGACAAAAAAATTGGGGAAAGGATACCCTAATCAACAAATGGTGCTGAGAAAGCTGTCTAACCACATGCAGAAGAATGAAACTGGACCCCTACCTATCACCATATACAAAAATGAACTCAAAATGGATCAATGACTCAAGTGCAAAACCTCAAACTATAAAAATCTGAGAAGAAAACATAGGGAACACCTTCCAGGATATAGGCCTAGGCAATTAATTCATGACCAAGTCCTCAAAAGCAAATGCAGCAAAAATTAAAACAGACAGGATTTTATCAAGCTAAAAACCTTTTGCATATCAAAAGAAACCATCAGGCAACCCTTAGGGTCCCCTAACACTGTGGGAGTTTTTCTGTCCTCTCAATAAATTCTGCTTTCAAAACAAACAAACAAGCAAACAAAAAAAGAAACCATTAAGAGAGCAAAGAGACAGCCCACAGAAGGGGAGAAAATATTTGGAAACTATTCATTTAACAAAGGCTTAATATCCAGAATCTATAAGAAACTCAAATAAATTGACATGAAAAAAAATCCCATTAAAAAGTGGGCAAAAACATGAATAGACACTTCTCAAAGGAAGACATACAAGTGGCCAGCAGACACATGAAAAAATGCTCAGCATCACTAATCATCAGAGAAATGCAAATCAAAACTACAATGAGATACCGTTGCACCCTAGTCAGAATGGTCACTATTAAAAAATCAAAACAAAACAAAACAGATGTTGGTGAGGTTGCAGAGAAAAGGGAATGCTCATACATTATTGATGAGAATGTAAGCTAGTACATTTGGAGATTTCTCAAAGAACTAAAAATAGAATTTCCATTAAATCCAGCAATCCCACTTCTGGGTATATACCTTAAAGGAACACAAATCATTTTACCAAAAAGACACCTGCACTCTTATGTTTACTGCAGCACTATCTACAATAGCAAAAACATAGAACCATCTTAAATGCCCATCACTGGTGGACTAAATAAAGAAAATGTGCCACATATACAGTATAGAATACCTTGCAGCCATAAAAAGAACAAAATTATGTCATTTGTACCAACATGAATGCAGCTGAAGACCATTATTCTAAGTGAAGTGCCAGAGAAACAAAAACTGAAAACCTCATGTTCTCATTCATAAATGGGTACTAAACACTGGGCACACGTGAGCACAAAATTGGGAACAGCAAGCACTAGGTACTGCTAAAGGAAGGAAAGTAGGGGGAATAAGGCATACAAAACCACCCATTGGGTACCATGCTCACCACCAGGTGAGGGGGGGTCATCAGAAACCCAAACCTTGCCATCACACAATATACCTACGTAACAAATACTCACATGCACCCCTTGATTCCAAAAATTTGAAATTTTAATATTCAACATAGTGAAAAATAATTAGTAAGTAGGAAACTACATCCAAAGAAATTATGTAAGGAAACAGAAAATATGAAGAGCATATTAAAAAAGATATTAAGATATATGAAGGCCTAATATATATCTAATCTGAGCCCAGATGCAAAATGGAAAGAAGAAAAAGTAAGATTTAAAATTATCATTGCAGTATATTTTCCTGAATTGATGAAATACATGAACATGGAGATCTAAAAAGCACAATATACACCAATAGGTTAAATAAAAAGAAACCCATAACTAGACACCTGCAGTGAGAATGCAGGACATTATGAACAAAAAGAACTTAAAATCAGCCACAGAGAAAGGACAGAAAATCAGAATGGCAGCAGACTTCTCAAAAAAGAAACAGAAGCCAAAAACAGAATAATTATATCTTTAAATCATTAAGAGAAAATAAATATCAATTATCCTTCTGTAATATCAAATAGGGAATGTGACTTAGGTCACAGCCCAAAGTCTTCTAATTAATGACGTGACGAAACACAGATACACCAAATTTCTGTTTTGATTTGAATAAATGTTTGAAATCAAATTTTTATTATGCTGCATATATTCCCTTTATGGTACAGCAACTGAGTTCTCACATGTTTTGATTCTAAAGTTCTTCATTCTAAAATTCTAAAATTCCTTATTTGCAAATAAGCCCTACTAGTCCACATATATTCATTAGTTAGAAATAAGACTGTGGGCTGTGAGTGTATGTTCACTTCTGTGTTTGTCTGGGAAGCAGCTGACTCTCAAGAAGGCACACCCTAGGTGGGGCCCATGGACAGTGGGCAGTTTCTTATGTCCCTGAACTGGCAAGGGCTCAGCTAGTGAGATCTCGAGAGACAACACGATTTCAAGCAGGCTGTCCAATCGAATAGAAACATGGACCCCAAACAGCAGTCACATATATAATTTTAATTATCTAATAGCCACATTAAAAAATAAAAGAAGCTAACATTAATTTTAGTAACAGTTTATTTTACCCAATATAGCCAAAATATTATCACTTCAATATGTGGCCAAAATTTAAAAATTATGAGTGGTATTTTACATTATTTTGTTCACACACAGTCTTCAAAATCCAGTTTGCACTTCACACACCTGGTACTTCTCAACGGGATTAGTCCTATTTCAAGTGCTCACAACCCCATATCTAGGTAGTGGCTTCCATGCTGGGCAGCACCAACAAAGAGAAAAATCAGGGGCTTTGGAATTAGCATGGGCCTAGGTTTGAATTCTAGTTCACTAAGAAGCTCACTAAGCTCCATGACCATGAGCCAGCTACATAAACTCTGAGCCTACTGCTGTCATCAGTAATAATACGACCTGCCTTGCGTGTGTCTACAAAAATTAGGGATAATATATGTACAGAACCTCGGTGCATTATGTGCCTTGGACATATTTCAATAAAATAATTCAATAAAATCATCATCATGCTGGCCATCATCACACAGACTGGAGAAGATGCAGCACCACTGCAAGAAAGCTCAAATTCAAAGTTCAGAAAAGCAAAGGTGGAAAACAGAGAGAGAAGCAAGAGCTTGAAACAAGATTATCAAAATGCTTCCAACTGAAGTCAGTCAACTATTAACCATACAAAATAAAAACAAACAAAAACACATTTTCCAAAATTGTGAATAATGCCAAGTTATGATATTGTTAGAACTAGAGATGTAGTGCAGGGTGTTTTTTTTTAAAATGTGCTTTCTGGATTACTGTTGCCATGCCAATATCACTTTCCATTTCTGAAAGAGAAAAATGTCTAGGAAGTGGACTGGAAGGGTGAGTGGCACAGGAATGACATCCAGGGAATTTAAGATGCTTGCACATTACCTACAAAGAATGTATCATGTATACTGGTAACTGAGAATTCACTACATAATACATGTCAATTTTTTCAAATAATTGTTGTAGCACATTTTCATTTATTTATACATGATAGCAAGATGCAACAGAAAATATATACAACATACCTCTGATAAAAACGTCTGGGCTGATTTCTGAGCTCCTACATGGAGCAGATATTCATACACGTAGAGCGCTAACCTGGAATACAAACAAAACATTCACTGAGAAGAGGAATATAAAGTTCATACTTTAACTAACACACACACCTTTCCACTGCAAAATATCTTACACACTAACGACAGAAGAGAAATCCTTCCCATGCCCTTTCAACAGGAATTTATGTATTAATGTTCAGAAAGAACTTAAAACAGAAAATGAGGAAAAAGACAAATATCTCTTTTTCTGGCAAGAAATATCTACATATGGATTTTTTCCTTAAATTATCTCACTTATTATAATCTCATTCCCTTTGCTATACCTAACATTACTAATCTCCAAATCCTGCTTAATGCATAATTATCACCTTCCATTAGTAAAATAAATGAATTAAGTTATTGAACTTTTCCACCAACTTTATGACCTTTCAGCTTTTTGGTGAATGTGGATGTAAATTCTGACTGTTTATACAACCACTGACCAAAACTTGTGTTTAATATTCACTTCAATATTTACTCAGCAGCCTCTCCTTTTTCTTTAGATTTGATTGTTAAACCAATACAATTTTAGCTTATAAGGGATTCAAATTCATAGCAAACTACATCATTAGTAAACTTTAAAGATAGCAGCTCATATCAACCATATAGGGCTCACAAATTAAAGGCTAACATAAAATTACATATAAATTTGTCACTCAAATATGGAATATCGAGTGTACTAACTTATACTACTCTCATTATCTTGTGGATTCAGAGTTTTTAAGTTACACCATGTGGCCCAATTTCAGTTGAGTTGTTAACAAAATATTATTCATAAACTCAAATTAGTCTGAGGCAGTATTTTTAATGATATCTTGGACCGTTGCCCAGATGGCTCACAACAGTTCAGCTTCTGCTACACTGTATTTACCAACACTGAGCCAGGTTTACAGTAAACAACACAACATAACAATAACCACAGTTCTGCACAGCGGCACCACTGCTCTTGCCAAACAAGTTTTTGACTGTTAAAGATTGATGGCACTTGCAAAAATGAGTATTTTCTTAATTTTCATGAAAACACGTCATGCATCTGTCATGCAAAGAGAAAGCCCGTGCAAACTCATTTGCTCTGTCCATTTACGTTTTCTCCATTCTAAAATTGCCCAAGACTCTGAATAGGAGTGACATCAGGGCCACCAGCATGGGAGTGGACACCTGCTGGCACGACCCACAGAGAGCGAGGCTGAGATGGCAGTGGGGGTGCACAGGTCCCTGGAAACACCTCCCACCATCTCCAGTGCACACACACATCCTCGATCGGTGCCTCTCCACATCTTGCCTGCACAACAGGGCCATGTGCTCTTCCACAGTGTCCCTGTGGATGGCTGCTATTCCCCAGGCGGCATCATGGGAAATGCGGGAACTGGGGTGTTCCTGGTACTACAACAAACAGCCCTGTTGTGATGCGCCCCCATGCCCTCTGAACACCACTGTCCCCGCAGCCCTCCCACCCCATTGCACGACTCTCTGAGGAAGGAGAAGCTCTCTGCGTGGACTGTATAGTCGCAGCCTTGCCCATGGGTGGCAGGACTGCCCTGCTGCCCACCTAGGAAGAAACCTCCTTGCCTGTGGGTGGCAGAATCACCTGCTGCCCACCTGGGAAGATGTGGCCTCCAGCTGTTCCTTGTGGTCCCACAACCTGGCCTAGAGCATACCAGGGAGGAGTGGACGAGGGGCGGGGCCCAGGCTGGGGGGTGCCGAGAGGATGTCCACCCAATTGGGGAAATGTGACCGGAGGCCAGAGCAGAGCAGAAGTGCCAGGTTGGCCTGGGAGACAGGCCTGAGAATGGCTGTGCTGTGCAGCATTGCAGGGCAGCCCTGTTCTCAAGTCATGTGATGTCCTCCCTGTGACCTTGCCATGTGAAAGGGACTCATGTATGTCTTCTGTACTTCCTTATCAATTAAGTTACCAAAAGGACACCTCTTCACAATGAAAATGACAGCAGTAGCCCACATCCTCTCTCCAGGTCCAGGACAGTGCTTATAAGATGCCTTGGACAGGACTCAGCACCATGGAGTGGGGGCTTCAAGCCATGTACCTGGGGTTGCTAAAGCATCTGTGGGGGTCCATGCCCACCCCACCATCACTCCCAGAACCTGCTGCAACACGGCTGGGAAACTGACCGCTGCCACTTCATGTGTCCTGTCCTGTAGTCTCCGTTGAACAGAACAAGTGCTCCTAGGAAGGGAGCAAGGCCTGAGTGGCAGTAAGGTACCACAACACAAGGCAGCAAGCCTCCTGTATTTTAACATCTTCTCTGTGCAGAGTATTTTCCAAACCTACCCCTGCAGCACCGTCTTTTGTCCATGCCCCGAACCTGCTTCTCCAAATGACTGAAGTTCCTAACATGATGATTCTCTGTTGAACCGACCAAGAATTCCCACCACCCTCTCCCCATCTGTTTTTAGAGTACCTGTGCTTGCCTTGAGTGGAGCACAACCTCTCTGAGCCTCAGTTTCCTCACCTGTCCAATGGAAAGAATAAGACTTCCATTGTATTGTTGAAAGGACTGGTAAGGAAATACAGTAAATACCAACAATTACTACTGTAATTCTGGCTAACTACCAAAGCATGTCCTGATTCTACGCCATTATCACACCCACTTCCACCATCCTTTTCTACCATCCTTCCTGCTCCTGAGGACTACGGGACCTGCAGCCATGCCAGCAGCCACATTTTCAGTTTCCGACACAGAGACTATGTTTCCCACTAGCCCCCCACAGAAAGTCCTTGGGACCACCAGAAATAAGAGTGTCCAGAAAATTCTGAGAAAAGCCCTGCTCTAAAAGATATTGTTAGGCACGCATGACTCCAGGGCATGGGTGTGACATGTGTCCATCCACACAAGGATGGCTCACATGGTGCCTGGCCTGGTCAGAGAGATCACCAAACACAAGAAGGCAGCATTTGACTTGGACTCAATTTCTACTGAACATGAACCTTTAAAGATAAATATTGAACATACAAACATGTAAACTGTATACTTTTGAATTAACACTTCCTTTTTCCTTCTTAAGCAACTTAAGGACCTCATGTTACAAGTACAGAGTGGCTCTTTCTCCCAGTAGCTTATGTGATTTTAAACACAGAGAAAAAACTAACCATCATGAGAAAGAGTAGGCTGCAAAGCACAGACCTAGTCTTCTCCTCTACCTGAGTAATGAAAAAGTCTAGCAATGATTCATGGATCGTGCATCTTTAAATTAGCTCCTCTTCACCCTAATTTTAAACTGGAGATCAATGCCTGAGTTATCACAATGACAACCCACAGTTCTGTAGAGGGAGCCAAGGTCATGAGCACAAGAGAGTTGAGTGCCGTCTTTCTCCTGTCACAGCAGATACCTGAACTCTAGAAGTGAGAGCTAAGGGGGAGACAGAGACAGAGACAGAGAACGACCAACCTTGGAGCCTAACGGGGCTGCCCAAAACAGCAACTATGAACATATACATGTGTGATACGCACCAACACACAGTGACTGTACATACCTATACGTGTGACATGCACCAGTGCACAGTGACTATACATACCTACTCACATGACATGTACCAACACACAGTGACTACACACACCTACACATATGACACACACAACTCACGACTACACACACCTACACATGATACGTAGAACATATAGTGACTACACACAACTACATGTGTAACATGCACGAATGCACCATGACTATACACACCTACATGCATGATGCACACCAACTCACAGCGACTACACACACCTGCACATGTGATGCATACCAACACATAGTGACTACACACACCTACATGTATGGCATTCATCAACACACAGTGACTGTACACACCTACACATACAATGCACACCAATTCTCAGCAACTATACACACCTACACATGGTGCATGCCAACTCACAGTGAATACACACACCTACGTGAATGATGCACACCAAGAAACAGCAACTACACACACCTACACACATGATACACACCAAATTCACCATTACTCAATTACACGCATGCACTCATAATGCCACAGGAGACAGACCAGAAAAATCACTACACAATGGTAAAATTCTATCCATGCCCAGCTCTGACAGAGTCAAATCTCTTTCAACTAGGCATCATGAATTCAAAATCCCTAATAATCTGAGTGTGAATGGGTCTACAGTTTAGCTTTGAGCCTATTAAAAAAAGAGTGGGAGGCTCTCACTTTGTCATGTGCATGATCCTAACAAAACCAAGGTTTTTCAATCTAAAAAACATATAATCAAAAGGGAATTAAAAGTGTATAAAAAGAAAAAATACATAGCATGCATTTTAACATAAAAATGTTAAACTGCTGACTGTGCCCCTAAAAAATCAAGAAAAATAGAAAACAAAGAACTGAAGAAACAGGACATTCAATCAATATGATGATACAGACTAATGCTCTTAAGACGCAAAAAGCACAAACAAAATGAACTGTCAACATAGGAAGATCTCAATTTTTAAATAATGAGCAAGGGATAAAAATGAAAATTCAATTAAGAATAATGTTTACATATGGCCAGTAAGTAACCCTAAAAAATGTTCATCCTCCTAGTCAAAAAATATATATATATTTAGAATTTCACCAACAATGTAGTAAAAACTTTGTAAATACTAACATGCTCAATGCCTATGAAGATAAAACATGAAGGTGTAAATGGTCTATCTTTTCAGGAAAATAAGTCAAGGTGAAAAAGCGAGTAAATAAAGTGTAGAATAATTTGTACAGTCTGCTCCCATCCACATGACACGTGTTCTTCCAGACACACTGCATGCACATGCAATATACAAGCATTGGGACAGGCATCCCTCCCACAAACCCCACGTCTACTAGGGTCACCGAGTGCACATAGATATTTTTAACTGCATTTGCCTGGAACCGGGAGGCCTGAAACAGGAAGAAGACTTTTTACTGCATAACTTTTCTTCTGTTTGATTATTTACCCTGGGCTTACATTTCCCATTTAAAAATAAATAAATTAGCAAATTTTAAAAAATAATAAT